AAATCGAGGTTCAGCTGGGGTAAGTATTTTAAGTGCTCTGCCAATAGCACAGATAATTTCAAAAGCTCGGCTACACTCCTATGACAATGAGATGATGATGTTTAGGCCTCGTGAACCCCATTCTATCACTGCCCTATCATCAATTGCAGGCACATCGGCGACGCCGCCATAACTTGCCATTGTCCGAAGGGCTTCAAGGGGACCAGATGCGAAATACCCGAAATAAATGAGACTACGCAGGGTAAGTGCAATAATAAATGTTATTTCCGAGATATATCTACATACAGCCGGAAGGACTGGGAAACATGCAGGCTAATAGGCGCCAGGACAGGCCAAAAAAAATATATGAGTATAAAAACGGGGAGAGCGGAACATAAAAAGCTGGAAAAATGGTATGGAAAAGCGGGACAAAGGACGCTGCTGTTAAAGTGAAAATGTAATTAAGGAAATAATTAGCATTAAAAATGCACTCATTGCCAGCTGAGGTACCCGCGCAGACACTGTGCAGACAAATTGAAAGGAAAGGCGATGGGCGGTGCCCTTTTCCACCCGCTTTTCCCGCCCATCTGGAAATTCTCTCGCCCCATTTAATCGGCAAGTGCGTGGGAAAACAATAAAAATGCATAACAACTGCAATGGAGAGCATTAAAAGGGAGCCGGCAACACGGTGGAAAACCTCAGGTTGTCACTGTCCGGGCTCCGTGCCAATTTCCATACGGCTGCCGCTTTCCGCGGTGGAAAACCCGGGACATGAACAACTGCGAAAATGTCACCAGCCAACAGCCACCAGCCACCAACTACGGCCAACAATGTTTAAGCTTTAAGTTGCGCAGCTCATTGAATGGCAAAGTGCCTGCAATGGTAATGAGAACGGGGAGAACAGGTCCTGAATCCTGCAAGAGGATTGCGAGATGTTACTTTTTTATTTGGGCTTTTAGCATTCCCGAAACATTCTACAAAGCCTTCTACAGTGCAGTGAATCTTTGAATGTAAATCAGCTGGAATCAGACACTCATACACGTATATGTTAAATATTTAATATTTTATCGGCTGGTTAAATACATTTTCATGGAAAAACACTGCAAAGCGCTGACGAAAAATGTTAAGGCAACTAGTTTAGGAACCAATAAAAAATGTTCGCCAAAAGGACGGTTAGCAAAAATTCCAATTTAATCGATTTAGAGACTCCATTCCTTTTCGGCTATAGCAAAAATGAAAAAAAACCATCTTGTTGGGATGGTGAAAACCCGAGAGATTATCCAAACGAATACCTGGCACATGCCTTTCATATTTTTGCTGCATGATGTTATGTCCTTTATTCAGCTCCATGCCCCAAGGAGATTTAAAGGATTCTTCTTGTGGCAAATGCAAGAGCGCCTCCTTCCCGCCCATTCGCTCGATGTTGCCACAGGTGTTGGTCCACAGCCACTCATCCACATCCATGTCTCAGATTCGACCTTTTATGGAAGCAATTACCAAATGTTTTCCATCCTTTCAGGCTGCACCAGCAACTCCAGCTCCATCGAGTGCCACCAGGCCTGCGACTTTGACAATTTTGGCCGCTCCGTCTCCCCTCCTGGCCAGAGCTATTCCGCTCCCAAAGGAAACCGGAATGCGGCACGCAGTGGAAAAACCCGATATGAGGTGACCATGCGACTGGGTGCCAATCTTACAGGTTACTATCGCCATGCCGACCGGGAGCAGTTGTCGGGCGTTATGGAAAGACAGGTGAGCTCTAGATACACTTAAGTCTTTAAAGTCACACAAACGAAATTGCTTCTTAGAGGGGAACAGAAGTATTTGTATTCAATGTGTTATTATTATTTGCTTACTCAAATGTTACTTCTCGGAAAGTAAGTAGGTCAATAAGTATTTAGATAGCGTGAAAAAAATATGTTGGTATAAAATATTTGGGCATGTTTCATTGAAAGTATGCGCAATCGAAGCACATATGTAAACTATAAGCTATTATATGTAAACTAACAAGCATCATCAAGAATCATAATACCTACATAATTTGTAGCACAAGTATTTTTATTTATAACAACAACATCTTTAGATAATGATTTTTAGAACCAAGCCTTTGAATATTATGGTTTACAATAAAAAAGCAAGGCTTAGCCCACATAGTTTTGCGTCAAATTGAGCTGATCCTCGGGCTCACTTCTGGCCCCACTAGCTGCTCCGTGCAGGACATTTCTCACCGCTCCTGGAGTGGCGTCCAAGGATGCAGTCCACATGGGCGGATGACCCGCCTGCTGCTGGGCATTGTTCGGAGCCGGACTGACTGGACTGCCAGCGCTGCTCTCCATGATCGTGGGCATGTTGGGCGGATGTTGGACGGAAGTCGCCGGCGGATCCACGCGCTCCATGAGCTGGGTGAAGCTACCACCGATGAGATCACTGCTCTCGTGGCGCTTGTAGCTGTGGGCGGATCGGGAGAGTGGGCGCCAGCGGTTCAGCTTCTTGGAGGCCATACGCTGCAGCGGAGGAGTACGGGTGCCCGTTTCCGGCTTAAAGGAAGTGGCTCCCTTGGCACCGGATGTGTGCTGCTCCAGAAGAGTGCTAACCAGCTTGTCCAGCGCCTTCAGGTCCACATTCAGCTGGGAGTTCGGAATGGAGTTCATTCGACTGCCAGACAGACTGCCCGATCCCGTCTGTCCGGGGTCACCTTCTGTCTTGAGGCGGTTTAGGCCGGCTATCTTTGCCAGTCGCTCGGTTAACTGAAAACATCAAGTATCAAGAAAACATCAGTATATTAATGAAGTTATATCGCAACACTTTGAAAGAAAAATAGCTGCATTTTTCCCTGTACCCAATTAGATTGGCATTCTCTCCTTGGCTCCCAACTCCCAACCCTTCCTAATAAATCGCCTGTGAGACTTCAGGACTGATACTTCAGCGGAGCCAATTAAACTTTCCGTTTTCCCATATGCGAAATTACAATTAAGCAATAAAAACTAACGAAATGTGCCCTTAGGCCCTGTGGCAACCGAACAAGTGTTCGCTCTGGAGCGGCTTCCAAGTGCCTGGTTGCACCGGAGGTCGAAGGACGAAGGACGAAGAGGAGGCTGACTGGCGGATGGGCGGCCAACAGTTTCCAGCCTGCCACACTTCGCCTTCGAAGGATTCGCTGCTCGGTGTGCGACTTTAATTGATGTTTCATTTCCGTTGCAAAGTGCTTCCGTTTTCCTGGGCTCCGCGTCCGCCGTTTGTTTTGTCCAACCTGCGGGGAGGTCGACTGGCGACTTGGTAATTGAGTATCAATGCGGTTTTAAGTGAAAAATGCTGCCAACCTTTGGCAACCAACTGAGCAACCCACCCATCCACCCATCCACCATTCCGTCCTTTCACCCATCCACCCATCCACCCATCCATCCATCCATCCATCCAGCCATCCAGCCATCCATCCTTCCATTCGTCCATCCCACCATCCAACCACCCTTTCTCAATGGGCGACCATTTCCGTTTTTAATCTTTTGCCTTGATTTGCTCGCTCTTCGCTTCGTTTTCGTTTTCATTTCATGTTTTCTGTGTTTTTTCAATTGCCTCGTGCTCCATTCAAATGGGGTTAATTGAGTTTTAGTGGCCAGGACTCACTTTAAACTGATTACAAGCTGCCGCCAGAGGGCGTGGTGGTGGTGATGTTCGTAGGCTTTGCAAGTTTGTTTTGCATGCCACTCGGCTATTTGGTGGCTGTCTCTCGAAATATTTGGAGCATGTCAGTTTGCCAGCCACTCGAGTTTCTTGGCCCAAGACCACCCACCACCAGCCAACCACCACGAACCAGGTTCCACCAACCTCCCACATTTTTTTCCCCGCCTGGAAACGAATTAATGTAGAAGTTGATTTGTGGCAATCGACGCTTGGCTGGCTTTTGAATGCTGCTTGCCGGCGAGTTTTAATTGAGGCGCTCGTCTGCCTCTTAAGCAGGAAATTAAGAAAGTTTCTCCCACCCAAGTTCTATGATTATGGATCTAGGCGAGTGAAAGACAGATTAAGTGTCATTAGCGAATTCAGCAAGGTGATGGGACATGCAGATCTGGTTAAGTATGATTTTCCCGCTGAAAAAGGCAACACACTGAACGAAACTCAATGGCAAGGTCTTAAGTTCATGCTACAAAATGAAGATATTGCCCAGTGGGTATAGTTTCATCTAGTGCATAAAAACCGAAAGGAGCTTATTTTCGTCTTGCAACAGGTTCATCTGGCTTAACTATAAATCTTACATGATTTTCAACTACTCAGTTGTGGCCCTGCTGCTCCGTTTTTTCCTTGCAGCTGCCCCAAGTGACCCCTTCTTTTGCCTTCCCATTCTGGGCTCCCTTGATTTATGATCTTCCCAACTTGGTTTATTGTCGCATCTTTTGGCCGGCACTTTTTCCCGGTCGCCGTGCATTTTCTTGTCCGCCTCGCAGGGCTTATCAACTAATGATTGAGGTCAGTTGGCCAACGTCTGCTCTCTGCCCATCCGCCAAATAATTGCCGGCAATTAAGCTTAAATGCTGGTTGCCCTTCCTTTCCTTGGGTCTATGAGAAATGCAATTTGAAGGGACTTCCCGGCCCCGAAATTTGGCAAAACTTGAATCGATCGAAAACTAGATTATTAAAGTACATTCGTAAAGGCAGCTCTTAGTTTCGGCAGCAATAAACACAACAGATGTGCTTGACAGTTTAATTTCAAAAATCGATTGATGCCATGCAAACAGATTATGGTAGCAACTGTGCAAATATATGGTAATATATGGTATTATATCACTACAGCAAATGCCCATTCATCCATTCTTGAACAGAACCTGTCAAATATTTTGTTTGATCCGAATGTTAGGTCCAATCTTAGGCACAATGCGTAATCAAACAGTGAAAGAGTGCGAAAACTGGCTACAACATATAGCACACTTGTGTACACTTGCGAATTGGAATCAAGCGGTGGCGGAGTTGCTATAAAAGCGATGAATCTGCCAGGGAAAGATTATCATTCGCCATCTGCAGCAACTACCAGCAACATGAGGACATCACTACTTATCGTGGGCTCCCTCTTGGTGACCATCTTCCTGGCTCATCTTCCAGTTGGGCTAGCCGTCTCCTGTGCCACAGATGCAACCGATCCGACTTGCACCGATTGTACACTTCCTGCGAATGCGGATGCACCCGATTGTGTCACAGTCGCTCCGGTGACTGCGGCCCCCCCAGCTGACGCAGAATCGAGCACAATTGCCGGTGGCGCCGCAGAAAGCACCACCGCCGCCACTGCAGGCACCGATACGACCACCGCCGCATCTGGAAGCACTGGAGGCACTGGAAAAGGTGGCAAGAGGCGAGTCAAGAGGGTCTACAAGCGGAAGGTGAAACACCCGAAGAGGATCATTAAGAGGAGGACCAACCGTCGCAGGAACAAGAGCAGCAAAACCTCCAAATTCTTCTAAACACTCGACTATGATCGCTCTAGGATGAGAACCACCATGACACGGCACTGCTACCCTGTACTCCTAACCAACTTTAGTTTAAGTATTCAATTCAATTTCAAATTGGGCCCGTAATAAATTATTATTTTAAGGAAAGTCAAAACTAAAATTGTTGTTCTGCCACTCTCAAGAATAGATACATATATATTCTGTACAATTATATCAAGATGATATACATAGATATAGTACATTGCTCACCTCACCAGCCGCATTGCTCGAGTAGCTCATCCGCTTGACCTTCCTGAACGTGGCATCGTTCTCGGCCTGGGCCAGAGCCCTTTCCAGGGCATTGTCCATCTGGGCATCCCGCTCGTCCAGGCCGTGGTAGTGGGCGCCCCTGGGAATGGGGAAGGGGCGGGGCAAACAAGTGTTCATTTTGTGCAACAATGCCACGAACTTTGAATGACGCGTCGGAGCGGAAATGGATCCGCCCGTTGTGGACCAAAACATTTATGGCTTTTTGTTAGTTTCGTGTAAACAAATGGTGCTGGCATTTTGTGCTAAATTAAAAAGCTCACAGCCGTGTGTTAATTTGTTGCATGAATTTGCATTGTTCAATTTTTTCCCAACGCATTTTCAGGTATCAACTTGTTTACTTTAGACTCATTTAAAGCGAATGCTCGTTTTCAATCCGCCCAATGGTCAATCGAAATTAGAGCTGTTTGCGTGTACAAACATGTAAATCGATTCAGTTGCTTTTAATTAATTTACAAGCATACCAGCATAAAAGCTGAAAAAGCATTCAAATTGTATGGGCGTTTGAAGCAGATTTTCAGAATACGTGTATTCAGCTACTTGGGTAGCTTCCAACATTCAGCTGCATTTTTCCTTCCATATTTTATAGCCATTTGTTTCTTTTTCGCATTTGCGTTTGCCTAAGACCGCCATAAATACGCGCCAATGATTTCAATTATGCGATAAATATTTCACGGAATGTGCAGCATATATTTATTTATGGACTAGGCGGCGTGGGCGCAACATTCGCACTCTGACGACATAAATACCTTCATTATTTACCTTTTCAGATTGCGTTCAAGCATTTTGGCCAGACAAATGTTGGGAGTAAATTGACTTGCCCCCAGGACATGTTTTCATGAGGATGAGTATGAGTGTGAGTATGAGTGTGAGTATGAGTGTGAGTGTGAGTATGAGTATGAGTCTGCGTGTGGGAATGAGTATAGGTTTGAGTTGGCACACACGGCCGGGCGCAATTATTCAACAAAAACGGAATTGTAAAGGATATGCGAAATATGAGAATTGGTTCAGGGTCGGCCGGTCCCAAAAGAGCTCTTTTCCCCATCTGAATGTGTGTCCGCCCCGCGACTCACCCGCTGAACTTGTCCATGCCCCTGACGGTGCCCATCCCTCCATGTCCTCCAGGACCTCCGGCCACCGAGCTGCGGCTGCGAGGATGCCGCATTGTTGAGCGATTCGTTTTGCGAACGGTGCGAAGATCTGTTTCCCAAAATCTGCGTGTAGGAGGAAATTTATTTTAAAATCGACGTACATTTTGTTGCGTGCATAGAAGAATACAGTGGATAATGATTCAGCTTAATTAATTCGTATATTAAAGGGGAAAATTTGTTTAAAAGTTAATGTTGCTGTTTGCACAGATAAATCCATTGGAAAGTGTCCTACTCATTCATTTAAAGGCAACTAATACATAATACAAAGCAACCTACATAGAACCTTTGGAAAAAATATAGAAATTCCATGTTCTTAAGATAATGCTCGTCTGATAACAAAGTATAATATTAAGCTTCAAAAATGACGTGCTCTCTTCTAATTAAGTTTTATAGTTTCCCACTTCCCCAATAAAATTGCACTGTAAAAGAGCTGTAAAACTGTGTCTTGAATGATTGGCGATGCAGGATTTTTTGTTGCCAAAGTTTTAGTTTAATTTTACTCAGCCCCTATCGGGAAACTTTTTCTATTATAGGAAATAACCTTCGGGCTTCCGGCAGCAACTGTCCCCATTTATGTTGGCATAGGAGTTGCTCTCTCGTCGGACAGAGGACCCATAAAAATCATTTTGAACTGGCGGAGACAAGAAATTCGCAACCATAAACCGCTGTCAAAAGAAAACCGCAGCAATGAAAACAAAACCAATTCGCCAGAGTCGAGCAAACTGGATGGTTCCCGGGTATACGAGTAACAACAAATAAATATGAAATCATGCACTTTATGCGTAATGCAACAGCCTGCGGAAAGAGCCCGGCCCTGGGAATCCCTTTTTCTCATTTTTGCTTTTGTTTTTGGTCCTGCTGCCCATGCTTTTCCCATTTCCAGAACCAGGACTCTCGGCTAACAGTGGAGCCGAGTGAGTCTAACAAATGGCATCGTATTCGGATTGCAGGATAGCCGTTTCTTCTAGTGGCCGGCTTATATAGAAATCCGATTCCAGTGGCTTTGTTTTGGGTGAGCCAATATGGTCAATATTCGGCTGGCTGTTGTGCAGGATACAGATCAAAACGATGGTATCCTCTGCGAAGGGTATGCACAAAGTACACACAATTCCTAAAAGCTACACAAACAAGTCAAACAAATGGGCAAACGAGCGTGAGCGTGCTTAAATAAACGTTGGAACAGTCACAGGACATTCATACATATGTATGTGCACTATAATAATAAAAAGGATGTCGCAAGCGGCAGCAGCGAAATAAAATTGTAGCACACTTTCGCGGGCCGTTTCGTTTATGCGGACCGAGTGTGTATGTGTGCGTGTATGAATATGTATGCTGTGTTGTTGACGAAAGCCTAGTCCTCGCTTAAAGCAATTTAATGCGTCACTTTGGGGAAATTAAAGACACATGTCTGGGGCAGACTGAGACGCAGACTTGGAGCGTAGATCCCCATTTGTCAGCCGAGCTGGCGAGGGGGCATTTGTTTTCATTTAGATTGCCACTCGGCCACTTCGACACGCGACGGGGACGGAATAGAATCGCGAAATCAGTTAGTTAATTACGCGATATATCATGTTTTAAGCTAGTCACTTGTGCAGACAGCCTGTTAAAAGTTAGTAAAGTAAGTAAATAACAAATTGCTGGGCCTAAAAACTCAAAATTCCAATTCAAAGTCGGGTGGAAATGCTTTTCCCAAAATTACAACTTCAGAATCGCAAAGGATTCAGCTCCTTCATTGATTTAAATGTCCAGGATGTGGCAAGTGTTGAGCAATATGGGTTAATTTCCCCCAAACAAGTTGGTCCTACGTGTTTACTCACTGTTTGTACGGAGCAATCTAAGATGGGCTTAATACACAAAGCAGACAAGATCTGATTTATTAACCCATCGTAGATTCAGTCAACGGCAATGTTGACATACTATATACTATAATTCGCATGCTAATAGATGTGCATTTTAAATGGGTATTAACTGGGCTGCTCTTGCAGAACAATCGGGCAACACATTTTGTTGGCCATTGTGATTTTGTCTCTGTCTCTGTTGTCGTTATTAATTACACTTACTAATGGGCAACTGACCAAGCGCACATTACGGAAATGATAAGCTCAAAAGCACTTGCTCCGTCGTCATTAAACACACTCCAGCGCATCTCGCTGTGCACATTTTTAATTTGCTGCTATTCATACATAATATGTTTTCCAGGGTGGACCTTGTTTTTTAGTTTTGAGCCGCACTTGTTGGGCAGTTTGGATATGTTGATCATTTGAGATATCTTCTTAACAATTTATACAACTTTATTATTCCCACAAAAACAAGAAATACACAAACCAAGATTAAATATTATTATAACTCCGATTCAATTCAATTCTTACACAGAATCAATGTATTATTTTAAATCGTTTTAAATCATTATTTTCTTCGAAAGCTCATAATACCAACCGATTATTACATATAAATTTCAGTACGCTGCAGTGCCTCATTAAAAATATTTATTACAGTCTCAGCAAGGCCCACCCTAGACTTTTCCCAGAAAAACATCGACTACATGTCGCCATCGACTAAAATACGCCTGCAAAGTGGCAGAATTGTCTACTCACCGCTTTAAGTCCGGACTGGCGGTATATGGCGCCGAGACCTCCTTAATTTTCAATACGATTATGGCCGTGATAAATATGCAAATGACATTCACGATGGTCAGGCAGGCGGACACGATGCCATTGATCAGGAACTCGGTGGGCAGATAGTTGGTGTAGAGGAAGGGGTATGCGCTAGTCGAGTTCATCGCCTCGTTCTTCAAGTGCGGAATCCGCTTCTCCGGGTAGATGAGCCAAATGCAGGCCAGTGACCAGAAGAGACCCTGCAACACAGGCGCAAAAAGAGCAAGAGCATGGGTAGCTGTGACTTTGAAGTTCCACTCCCATGGTCATGTGTGCGGTTCGGTTCGAGGTCATAAGGTCGCCGCGTGCCCAGTTCCGGTTAGATGGCACTCCCGTTGGCATACCAAGCAGAGGCTGCCGGCCTTGAATTGCCATAACTTTGCGGCATGTGTGGGCGCCACACTATCGCCCCCACCACCCACCACCCACTCGTAGATAGAACTCCATTGTCGCATTTTCAGTTCGTTCTCCTCTTCGTATTTTTTGCGATTTCGCTCTGTATCCTTCTCTGTGCTATTATAAATTATAATGACTCAGCACATTGCTCAGCAAGTCCGGAAGTGCGTGCCATTTCTATATAAACCCACGTACTATTGGGGCCACAATGGCGACCGATAAGATCGACTCATCATTGTACCACCCCAAAAAAATAAACTTATAAGCTCAGGCTTTATCGTTATCTCCTATCGCCTGTTAAATGTGTGTATTATAGGGATAATACTATTCATAAAGGTATGCAGTAAAACTGAAGTTAAGCTTTCATAATGGAACAATTCAAGAGATAATACACCGATGTAGCCCAAATTTTACAGATATCATTTCTTATTTAGCAATTACAGTTCGTGAAATTTACATCATTATGCTGCTAGTAACTCAGCCGCCGCTGTGAAATCCACAAATC